ACGTGTCGGTTGGTCAAGACACCTGGACCAGACATCAAAACCAACTCCGCTTTGACAGCACGCCGGAAACTCAAGTATGTTCGGGTACCGTATCGTTGGACATATTGCTCGATACTTTTGAGCTGAAAACTGAGACAGCTCCGAAAGAGGAGAGTGTGACCGGCAGCTCAGTATTTGATCCAACACTTCTTCCCAGGCGGTGGACAGACCGACGCCGCCGCCAGCCGGAACGTAGCCAGGTCGACCCCCGTCGAGTATGTTACTGACTTTTCACAAGGGGAGGTGTTGGAGATATCAATATCCCCCCAAAAACTCTGTATTTTTATGTGTGCCAGCAAACTTCCGGCATCTTCAAGGTCAAACTATGAATATATATATATGCATTGTCATTTTTTCCCATGATTACCTGTTGATCGCGTGTTGTTGGCTCATTAAAGTTTGTGTCCGAGGTTTTTTGTCTTCTTACTATCCGGCGTGCTGGGAGTCTGGATCAAGCAGCATAGCTGGGGATAGAGTATTGCCACGATCCGCATATCATATTGTTTTGCTCGCAGCGTGATCGAACCGTAACAAAAACTTGTGTTCATGAACACTGACAGGAGGGATGCAACATTCCAGCCTGGAAACCGTGCGCTTTCGAAGAACTGTCGCCCCGGGTACCGAAGATGGACTGTTTGAGTCCCCGAAAGATTCGGTAAGATGATCTACAGCATCCAGGTGGGATCATTAGTATGGAAACGACATGTCAATCAATTACGGCCGGCTGAATGTCCGATCTCAACCTACTACTTGAAACCTGTGGTCTCACAAGACCAGCACTAGCCATTGCTTCAAACATGACAGATCCATTGCTGCAAACGAGACGTCATACCGGTCGCGCTATAAAACTGTTGGAACCTTTACAAATTGATCCGCGTCGACAATCTAACGGTGAACAGCCAAAAGGGGGAGTAATCAGCAAGGCCAGATTTCTGAAAGTAACCAATGAATGCTGGAAATCTACTAAAACCCTCAATTCCACTAGATGCTGACCAGATAGACAACGCCCCACCAGTATGCAGCGCGTCACAGCCTCGTATCGAAGCCAGGCAGCGTAAATCGGCATTGGACCAAGGTCAGGCAATCCCCCTCAATATGCAGCGCGTCAGAGCCTCGTACGAAAGCCAGACAGTGTGAGTCAGCATTGGACCAAGTTCAGACAGTGTTCCTCCAATAAAATAGCTTGAGGCCGTTGTATTTTCGCACTCACGCTCTCGTATCCGCTTGTTCGGAATAAAGCTGTTATGTTCCCTTCGGTGAGTTTTTTTTCCGGCACCAGGCACTGAAGCGAGGTCAGCAGTTACATGCAACAGATGGGCTGCTCAGTCAGATACAGCTGATTGGCGAAGCAACAGATATGACACATTATGTTCCCTCGGTGAGTTTTTTTTCCGGCACCAGGCACTGAAGCGAGGTCAGCAGTTACATGCAACAGATGGGCTGCTCAGTCAGATACAGCTGATTGGCGAAGCAACAGATATGACACATCAACGACAAACTAAACACGAAAAAAATGATGACCGCATAATAGTTCCTCTCTTCACATTGGTGGGGAATAAATAAAATAAAAAACGCTACGGAACAATTGGAAGCAAGGGCATGTCATTCTCAGATATAGTTGCATAAGGATGGTAAGAAAGGGAGAAGAGATCCAACTTACTCGAATACGGTGATAAGGTTGGCCAACGTTTTCGCCGTCCAAGTCACTTATCTTCCGATACCAAGTTTTAAGTTTTCTCGTACTTTAATGGATGCTTTTGCCCGGCAGGTGGTCTGATTTTCATTTTTAGGCTGTTAGTAGTCTTTATTGCTATGGTACCGTTTCTGTACGTGTAACCTCTTCCCATGTTCTCCCCTTTTTTGTAGCAATACAGGATGTCCCACACAAACGATCATGAGGAGTCAATGTGCATCGCTGGAACACCGACATCTAACGAGATCTCCTGTCACCTAAGCGAGCTGTTGGTTGAAAAGGGTGGGCTTACAGACGATCTGGTACAGAGTCATCTGTTTTCGGAAGTCCTGAACGAGATACCACCCCAAGCATTGGGGGATTTGTCCTCCACGTTGCAGCAATTACGTCTTTCTCAAAAGCGGTTCCAAGCCCAGCTGGAAAGCTTAGCTGCGGAGAACTATTCGGTGTTTCTGGAGAAATCGGATGCAAGTCATAGTGTCATTGACAGGATATCTACCATAGTCTCCTCCAATTCGGTTATGGTGGACGAAGTTCCCAACTTAACACGCTACTCCGAAAGGTTTGTTGACAAAGCTCGTGGCATTACTGACGCAATTAAAACAAATACGAAAGCACTGGAACATCACAAGCAGGTGAGTAATCCGTTTCCGTTCCACGTAAATGCAATGCTTTTTCTTAGTTGCTCGAATTACTGGAGCTTCCTCAGTTGATGGAAACCTCCATTCACAACGGCTACATTGATGACGCTATTGCCATCCTCACCTACACCAAGCGGTTGAGCAGAAAGTATGGTCCTACGATTCCCGTTGTGAGGTCTATTGAGGCACAAGTGAATGCAGTCGGCTCACAGTTGATTCAGCATCTATGCAATCAGTTGCGTTCCCCACTATCTCTGCCCGCATGCATCAAGGTCAGTGTTCTGGTAACTATGTTGGATTCGTCTTTTGTAGTAAGCTAGGGCTGAAAAGCCAGGAATGTTTTGTTTTTATTCAACTCCTAGTCTTACAACGAGAAAAAGTTTGGCAGATCCAGCGACGTCTGTGGTAGACGTTTAGACATGGAGTCCTGGCCATCTTGTCTCTCGTCTTCATCCAGCCCTGACTTTCAGGTCACCCCTGTCGATCATTAGATAGCTAGACATTATGTGATCCATCATGCTCTTTGCGCCTCGTATCAAGACTTTTCTTGTAAGGGCACAATTGATGAACAGTATTTCGCCTATTGTCTTGCCAGAAAACGATCCCGAAACCTTTGACTTACGTTCGATTCTCCAAGAAGTGTCACCTCCTGTCGGTTATGAGATGCCTGAGGATTGTTTGTCTTTTTGTACATTTGTTTTCCATATGAATTTCGCTTCGCCATCTGTTCGCACCACGCATCCATATTTCCTACTCCCAAAAACTGCATTTTTATGCATAATTCTTACCGTAAATCAGGGGAGTAAGTGGCCTGTAACTCCAGTGAAGGGGATGTAAGTGGTTAAGAAACAATTTACCATTGCTAGTACACTTCACTGTCTCGGATGAACTAGGTATGATCTCTGTTGTGTCTGGCTAAGCACGCTTCAATGGCTGTTCCCGTCCAGTTTGCCACTTTGGCGTTTGTAGTTCCAGTTAGTTTGAATTGTTTTACTGCTCCCTATATCACTATCTTTTTTCAGTATGATTACCAATGTCTTCAACCATTTCATTAACACAACGGGACATATGTATCGCGGAATGTAAGCGTTTGCTTTTTCAGCCTCGAGACCTGAAACATAGGTTGTATGCAAGAGACCAACAGTAGCAAAGTAGGAAGAACAGACATTCGAAGGCCAAACAAGGCACTGATATAGACAGGGAAGTATCGTGCTCGTTCTCCTGATCAATAACCGCACAACAGCACTCTTCAACTTTAATGCTTTCCCGTTCTCAATCGAAGACGTTAAGGCGATTACAAATCAATGTAGTATTTGTTCAGAGTTAAATCCTCGTTTTTGAGTCACCCTTTTGGCAATCTCACTGAAGCTACACAACCGTTTGAACGCGTCTGCATCGATTTTAAAGGCCAGCTTTCATCGACTCCCCACAACAAATACCTTTTGACGATGATCGACGAGTACTTCCGTTCCCCATTCGCCTTCGCGTGTCCGGATGTCTCCACATCTACCGTGGTTAAGTGTTTTAATCAGTTGTTCTCTTTTTTCAGAATGCCCAAATCAATGAGTATTTGTTCAGAGTTAAATCCTCGTTTTTGAGTCACCCTTTTGGCAATCTCACTGAAGCTACACAACCGTTTGAACGCGTCTGCATCGATTTTAAAGGCCAGCTTTCATCGACTCCCCACAACAAATACCTTTTGACGATGATCGACGAGTACTTCCGTTCCCCATTCGCCTTCGCGTGTCCGGATGTCTCCACATCTACCGTGGTTAAGTGTTTTAATCAGTTGTTCTCTTTTTTCAGAATGCCCTCATACGTCCATTCTGATCGTGGTGAGGCTTTCATATCAGGTAAGGTACAAACGTTTCTTCACGATAGGGGTGTGGCAAACAGTCGAAGTACCCCATTAAATCCACGCTGTAACGGACAAGTTGAACAGCCTAACGTCACTCTTCGGAAGTCTATCCTTTCCACCGTACCGTTATTGAAAATCCATCAGCTGCTCCGTCGGAAGCCCAGCCGGAGCACGTTTTACGACCGTGACGCTGGACAGACGGGATCCACAAGCCACGAGACCACTGCAAATGAAACTCCAACTTCGAAGCTACGTCAACAAACCACAAGGGGGGAGTTGTTGGGCGGAATTTAGCACCTAGACCGCTGTGCCGCTTGCAGTAAGGTGCTGCCACGGCAAAGAAGTTTATTTCGCATGAGATTCGCCAGAAGATCGGGCCGCTTGCCGGTCCAGCATCAGAGTGAGCTCTGATTGACCAAAACTGTGAACTCAACAGCCAACCGTTATCCTGTATCCGGCTATTGCCGGTTGCCAGTGAACCGTTTGGAAGGCCTCGGAATTTCCAGAGCGTTGTCACCACATACACTTTATATATCACGTGCCGTAAATGTGTTTTTGATCTGGTTTTGGGCGTTTAGTACATGCGTACCTTTGGTGGTTGTTTTGACGGGAACACTAGCTAGGAAGGTTCAGACCGGGAACTTAGCTGAGAAAATACCGTTATGAAAACTTGAAGGATAGTCTATACCTGCTGAAATGAATTGAACCATCTTTCCACACATGGATATAAGTAGATCATGCATACGCTGACCGAAAACCTGACTCTTATCCCTGAACAATGCGGGCGGGCAAATTATTTATCGCCGTTCCAACAGTGTTTTAACACGGACTGTTTGACTTAACACCCAACTAATAAATCTGAGTCAATGGCGTAATTTGTTTTTGTTGTGAGGTACGGGTCGCCAATGCGGAGCTTTAATTATGGGACGTTTTTCACTCGCAATGTCACGGCGGTGATAAATTCCGTACCGTCAAATCTGTGCCAATGGGAGTCTTCCCCGTGGAAGGTCTGTCATGGGTAATAGCAATGTAAAGTGTTCTGCCCACTTTTTGATGCCATGGATTAGGGACTTATTCGGCCCGCTCGTCCATCAGATTTTATGGTCTGTGACCGCTTTGATTATGAATTCTTCTGAACGAGAACCATATATTATTCTGTATCAGGTTATCGTATTCCTACGGCGTACTGGCACGTTCACTGAGCAAGAGCTCCGTCTAAAGTTCTTGCAAACGCGTACTAGTTGCCTGGAAAATCAGCTTGCATCTGGCCTTTCAGCTTCACGACCTGATGAGATATTACGCTCCGACGTGGGCTACATAAAGTCTGGCGGTTTCCTCAACTCTAATCGAGCTCAGTACGATGCATACTGGAGGTCAACTCGCCTCATTGAAATCACACGCGTCCAGCTGTTTGACATCGTCACACAATATCGGTAAGCGTGGTATATTCATGTCTCTTTGTACGCACTATTTGAAATCTAACCGCACAGTCAACTTTGGATAATTCGATACTCTGTGTATCCGATGGTAACATCGACCTTCTTAGGTTTTTGAACCCATTAAATCTTCTAAGATACTCCATTCTATCTTCAACAGGACAGCTATCTATTTAGCAGGCTTTTTCACCCAGATTGTTTTTTTTTCGGTAAAGATTCATGAACTTGTTCTGTTGCGTATTCGGAGAGTAACACCATATGAGGGACGATTTCGTAATAGTACACGAGTCTTTTAACCAACTGTTGAATAAGAATAAGTGATAAATTACTTGAGGAGAGACTCACATTTTATCGCAGTTAGATGCTACAAAGTGGGATAGTTACGAACTGCTAAATATGAGGGGTGCCAAGTGAATTGGTGCTGTGCACCTTCCAGGATTCGACCCACGTGAACCTCGCTGTGCTTGGTTGGAGAGACTGAAACACGTGGCAGCTAACCAATGTCAATGGAGTCCAAGCTGTTATACCGCTGAGACTCGAAACGATAGCTCCACCAACTGAAGGCAATAGTGGAACTAGCCAAGGAGGTCAGCTCGTACCGTTTCCTGAGTGATTAGTGACTATATTTTGTGCTCTGGAACGCGAGTGGAAAATTTTTGGTTCGAATCCTTGCCACTAATTGGTCTCAAATCGAGGAATACGCCTTGACGATATGACGCCAATATGTGTTAGATTCTGGGTTCCGACGAACCACTGGAACAAACGATGAGCATATTTCGACCTGTAATTTAAAAGTGTTAACGTGAGAAGGTCAGAGACATTCTTCAGAGAAGTGACCGGATAACCTGGACAAGCAGATATGTGTTCAGATCAACTACTGGTTATCGTCCTTTGTGTATTTTTGGCCAACATTCTACTTTCGTATCGAAACTATTGATCCCATAACAGGTTACAATTGTCAGTTCAGTTTCTGAGACATTCCGTTCCCTGTTTCCGTCTGCAGCGCTGTATTTTCAGAAGAGGAAAATTTTATGCAACATCGGCGAACTAGCGAATGGACATCTGGCTCAACCAAAGACACTCGGTTTGACAACAATCCACTATGCTTGAGCGATGACCTTCCGTCTGTTTCCACCAGCCGCGTAGGCTACAATTTATTCCATTCTTGGCTGACCCATCGGCTTGGCATTTTTCTGGACACGTTTACGGCAGATCTGGAAGCAATGCTTTATCAACCGAATTTGAACACACAAGATATTTTGGATAGGTGGACGTCCAACGGATCGGGTGATCTTACTTCGCCCGACGCTGATCTACCAGCACTGTTCACACAATTGCAAGCTCTGGTATCCCAGTCTATGTACTTCGGACGCTCTTTTAGTCGGATAGGATGTGACTTCAGACCACATTTGGTAGACTTATTCAACTCTTCGATTCTACGTTATGTGAAGGTTTGTAGCTTCAGCTTGTTGTGTTTTTGAAAATTTGTGCAGAGATCCTTAGGTTTAAGGTTCTTGTTAAGCGTTGAAAGACGTTGAAAGTTAACCAAGTTACTTCACGGAATGAATGGAATGAAGCGGCAAATAATGGATAGTTTAGCCCGCTGTAAAAACAAAGAAGCTACATGGTCAATATGATGGTTGGCGTGAAACAAAAAATGTAGCGATTCAGAAGAATAAAGTCGACAGTTTTCCTACCACCCTAAAGTCTACGTTCCAGGCCTATAAGGTCTGGAATACAAAAAGTGCTACTACTAGACGAGGAGTGGTCAGCCATTACCAGGCCAATCAAATGCCAATCCTTAGGATACAGCTGCCCCCGCTGTTTGGGCTACCCATCAGAGTAGATCACGTTTGCTTGGTCCTTTGAGACTTGATTCGAAGTTTATTTCTGGAGAGAGCTGTTTATCCCCTTCAGGGGGATTACAGTCCAACTCACCTATTTAGGAAGAAGAATATGGCCTTGTCAGTATTTCACTCAATATTTTCTAGTACCCCCACAGTTTCTCCCATTTTTCGTCACAATAATGGTGTTCCGCACTCCAATTATGGATATTATTTATCTCCTAAAGTAGTTTCGCCAGTTTTCCTTTATGTTGGTGCTGACATCAGGTGTTCTGTTGGCTAATCATCTCAGTTTATTAATTCTGGCGCTCCCGTTTTTGCAGGTATCTGGTAAAGTATGTTAACAAAGTGAATGTTGGTAGTTCAGGTAGCGTGGATCGCGATTGGTTTGTTCACTAAGTTGGGCAATTTGATTGCGCACAACCACCGACCCATCGCCACTCTCCGCTATGTTCCCTAACAACACCTTGAAACATTTTCAATAAAATTACGTAGCTCAACAAACAAACAAACAACAGTCCGGCAGTGTTATCGTTGAACACGCATTGGAATGTGGCCTATCGACAGTTGCTTCCGCTGTTCATTCAGAATACGAAGTTGGTGGTGCTGGAATATCCCAATGTCAAGTGTCTAATGAGGCCAATAGATAACCGGCGGACTTTCTTTTTTTCCTTAGGGCGTAAAACGGAAATTACAGGAAACAGAATTTCTAGTTTTACTCAGTCCTCACCTAATGCTGACCTCCACGAAGTTTCCGTTCGGACTGGACACGAATAGTTTGATCTTTACGTGTTTGGTAGCCTGTAATTCTAGTTGCATAGCAGATTATCGAAGTAACAGATAGAGTAGTCCTGACCACCAGCTGGTAAGGAATGGAACCTGACCCTGTGCCTCCCTATATAAAACTGACGAACATTTTTGACCAGAACTGCTTCGACTGCATGATGCCACGTTGCGACGGTAACCAGCGTGTCTCCAATGTATCAGCATCCGATATGCATTTTCCTTCACAGGTGTATTTGACCAACGCGACCACCGAGTTCTGCTTTGCACTGGATAACCTATTGTGGACGGTTAACGCGACCCAAGAGACAACGGTTGGTGAACATTCGGAGGATCATGCATCGACTATAAACAAATTGTTGTGCTATCCCCCAATGACCTTACTCTACAATCGATTCATGGAGTTGTTCAATGGCCTTCGCTCATGTTGCCCAGTGGGATTGCGTCATCAGTGAGTTAGAAGGCATCACGGTAGTAGTCCATCATGATCTTTTCAGCTCAGCATTGTACTAAGGTTTAGGTTGATCCAGCAAACCTTATGTGGATTCTGGCATATTAGATTATCTTGAAAGCAGCATAAATTTATCTCACTGTGGCGCTAATAAATCTCAAGGGCTTTTCAGCCTTGATACACTTCCGTTCCCAAAAGATGCATAGCCCTTGAGTCATTGTGAACATATAATGCGCATTGCTGGTTGTCCACAGGGTGTATTGATTTTGTTGCCAGGCGCAGAAGATTACTAGTTTTCCGTCATCTGGCCTAAATGGACTGAGTGAACTTCGGTAACTGTCCAAATTCGTCTTGGATAGATGTTTATTCGGTGTGAACGTGTATCCATCTCCCTCATTAGATAATGGCCATAACACTGGGATTTTCGACGAAGGCTACACCGTACGGGCACATTTGAGTTCTTGTCGTTGTTTGCTAAATATAATGTTTGGACTGGTCTTTTGTGAGTTAACCACTCGTTTGTCTGTTAAGTGCCGACTCACTCACTGCTACCTTTGTCGTATCAGTCTGAAGTTGACACACATTACCCGGTAATTTATTTCTTACCCCAGAATTTTGGCAGCTGTCGTCGAAGCGCTGGATCAATGCGCTGACCGCTTTGTGATGTCCTATCGTCAGTTGCTCGATCAACAGACTATAAACTGGCGTTCCGAAGCGTCTGCTTTTGCCTCTGTTTTCACCAACATCCTTGTTCCTTGTGTACTGTCCTCCTCAATGGTACTCCTACACACTGGAAAAGAGGGCGGAAAATCAGCGCCAGGTAGACCTAATTCAGCGTCCCATGTTTTGGTGCATCGTTTAGGCAAGTTGGTTTGTGCTACGGTGAAGGAAACCTGGCCACGGATACCCGCCGCCCCTGTGCTTCCGAAATGCGACCAGTCTTTGGAACCATCCGCAACGGAGAATGGTGTTTCCAACCAATCGAGCGAGTACGTCGATACGAAAACCGAAATAAATGCGCCTCCTCAGGAGACGGAATCAAACAACTGTGTTCAGAGTACCACTGAGGAATAAGTGACAGTGTTTTCATTGAGAACTTAATCTGTGATAAGTTGTTTATTTGCTGTTTTTTCCACCATATTATTTTATAGTTTCTTTCAAGTATACGCTGTGGTGAGCACTGTTCTGTCTTTTTTAAAGTCTCGCAATGAAGCTTTTTTTTAAGACTGTTATTTACTATCTCCCAGTTTTTGTGATGTAACTGTGTGCTGCTGTATGAAATCTTGGTGTCTTTTCCTTTGCAAACATAAAGCCCTTGGATCCTAGCCCGATCAGAGCCCTTGAACCAGGCCACTCATCTGTACCACATTGTCTTGTCCGATCGTGGCTGATCGATTGTACTTTGTTGTGTACTAAACCGCGATTTGATCGCCCTTTTTGAGAGACCAGAGTTAGCCACTCTGGTCGTTTTGGAGGAACTTTACTGTTCATTAGATACGTCGAATCACATGTGTAAGCAGCCGGCTGACCTACTTCTTATACCAACAAGGAAGCAGTGGGACGCCTGAAATGAAATTTAATCCATCATAGCACTTCTCTCTGTGTTATCTCCAACTACGAACCCTCAGGTGTCAGTATATAAAAATTCATTTCGGGTCACAGGAAGATTGGAGATATTGTGTGAAGTTTCTAGGGATGATTTTTCTATATAGTGTATTCGGTAATATGTTTGTCCTCATATATATATATATATATATATAATGTTGTGTCCAGTTTGAAACATTACGTTTTTTTCACTTTGGAGCCTAATGCTTGAGGTACTCAGTGACATAAACAGCATTTTTTGACGACATTCTTGATTTGTTTTCGTTAACAAGATACCCTCCCCGGAATCTCGAACAACAGCTAGCGTCATCTTAGTTACAACGACCTGTTATGTAAAACTGATAACCAACAGTTAGAAAAACCAGAAGCATCCTTCAGGAGCATTTAAAAGTAATCCCAAAAAGCTTGTTGCTCGACAATTGGTTGACATCTTAGATTTTATTTGTCTTGTAGTCAGTTTGTCCTGGTTCTTCGGGAATCGCGTCCTGAGTAGGTTGACCATACAGTGACAGGACACTCAACAGATTCCCCACTTGTATTCTGTCGTCAAAAGTTTGATCGCCGCTAACTCCGTACCATAGCTGCGCTTGACTGACTTCAGCGTGTCCGCACTCAAATATCGTGTATGCCCGTGAGTGCTTTGCAACGACTTATGGTCGGTAGAGCAGTACCTAAGGGTTGCCAATTTAAGGCTGTCGGAACGTATACTACGTATGTCTGGCAACAATCTGCCTTTGAGAGTGTTGCATCGTGGAACTCCAATTTCATACTTGCCATGTACAGCAACATAGGGCATCTCTGGAATGTAACAGGAAGAGCTATATTACGACTGTCGCACGAAATATTAAAAAAACAACCACTCAGCTGTAATACCCTTTTGATGCCAAATTGCTATGTAACCCGAGGGAAGCGCGAGGGCTGATATGCTACCAGTTTGCCTAAGCCTAGACAGGAGCAGTCGAGATGTGGGAATAGGGTTCGAACCACGAACCTTCTGACTAGTAAGTCCGCAAAATGATAATAATATATGGTATGGGCGCTTTTGTAAAAAAAAAGGGAATAAACCTCAACGGAACATCATCAGAAGTATCACGGAGACAAGAAAGTGAGAAGGTAAGGTTTTTCAAGTAGGATCCTTTTCTCACAATGCTTACTTGTGCGTGTCCACTGGGTAGACAGCTGAGTAACGACTAGGCGGTTTTGGTGAAGGAATAGCGGTCATGTGGCCGTCTTGTCGACGCGATCGGACCCGCTTGTTAACTTCGACTATTAAGGCGTAACGAATGTGTGTCAAAATGGTTGGTCTCACATTTCCGTAAATTTCAAACAGTTTCACCGAAGAATCAGTCTTTTACAGACTATGTATATGGAATTCTAGAGCGCTTTCAGTTACAGTGGTCACGTTCTGCTGGCACCCTAAGTCCTTACGGCGTTTCGTGCATGGTGGCTGCCCACGGGGTTTAGAAGATAGCCTCACAGCACTCCTACTTTGACCGTCTTCTTATGAGGAATGATCGCAAATGTTCTATTGTGAGCAACTCCTGTACTCTGGTAAGCATAGAATTGTGGCACCAATGTAATCCGACATGCGACGATAAAGTATTGATCCTATGCATAGATCCTCACTACCGCAAACAGTCAAGATGTCAATGCAAATGGGTGAATGAGGGGGGGGGGAATTCTACTAAGGGCCACTGGATCCTCCTCGAAGTCTACCCTCTCCAGCAACCGCTCGGTCCTGTTAGCGTGCAACGTTGGGGAGGTTTAGGTATATCTAGTGTACCTAGAACTTCGCTAACGCCCCAAATCCATCCATAAATCAGTGGGGGTAACCGCGATACATCGGTATCTAACCGTTCACCAGTGCTACTGACCTATCCGGATGAAGTGAACTCATGGTTGTCTAGTAATTACGCCAGTAAGTAACTAGATGTGATGTCAGGCTGTTTCGGGTTTCGGAGGAGGTATCGGTTGTGCCTGGCTGTCCGGAATCATGTCATATCGGTGATTGACTAGTTGTTGATAGAAATGGCCTATCTCTGTTGGAACCTTGTTGATAAGCGGCATAAGCGGTCAACTTGTTCGGTCAGTCGAAATGAGTGATATGTAGATCGTGTGGCTCCTAACAGTTTGTTCCTGTTCCCTGCTTCAGATGTTTTCATAAAGTCAACTAGTACAAGGACCTGTGACAGCCAATGTTTTCATCTAACTACATGAAACATGAACTAAGATGGAAGATTGAACAGTTTCGCGGACTTTACCATCTACCACGGATGCTTCGGTTAGATGTCGATTATGATATTGTGTTCACTTGCTCGGCCGTTGGTGCGATTAATGATTTGTGTCTCGATGAACTGGATACCAGATAGTAAGTTTGGTTCTCACCTTTCCAAGCAGCAAATCCAGTTTACTCGCTGGATATCAAGATGGTTCGATTGTTTTATTTGACGTGGACGCCGCATCTGACATAGACGGCCAGCAAATCTACCAGCAGTTGGCTCGCGTCGATAAATGTCCTACTCTTCAACATTCCACCAGGCGTTTTCGGAATGAGCTCAGTCCTTTGGTGTGTATTCAGTGGTATCCAGTTGATACTGGTGCATTTTTCACCGCCTCTTTGGATAAAACTGTCCGAGTATGGGATACAAACAGGCTCGAAGTAAGTTCTAACCATGTTTCAAAAGTAACCTAAATCCAATCCAATTACGAGGGATGAATGATGGCTGAGGTGCTGTGAAATTTTGCAAGCAGGTACAATAGCAATCAAGAAGTTCGGACGTGGTTCTAGGTCATGGATATGTCGGTCAATAGTGTGTCCCATAACATATGGCTCGTCCCGAGTTCTTACAGTGGTTCCATTCCCTATCTGTTGTATCACCACTGTAGTTAGAATGCTTACTACTTAGCGTCACCGCTTTTGTACAGTTTGGACACGTGGCTCGTTCGATCGAACATGAGATTTAGTGCTACTTAGCTTGGGTGTACCATTTCGATGGATCACCATTCCAGAAGTTCCGGAATTCCGTGACCAAATTGTTTTGAAAATTTTGGAGTGGTTGCTTGATCAGTTGTGATCTTGAACATGCATATCCTCCTCGCCTATTTTACGCTATGAACGCCGAGGAAAAGTGTATTTCGTCGTCGGAGTTAAATTTGAAATAACTAAAATAGGAGCGAGGATATCCTTTTATTTTGACGCACACTATTCATACGAGAAACTGCTTCAAGTGAGCTGACGCTTGAAGCATGACGACGGTTTTGAGGTAGAAATAGCCATCGTTGTTCGGTGATACTTTGTCATTTACTTTACTTTACTTTACTTTATCATTTAAGGAGGACGTAATATCTGGGTTCAGGATACGCAGCCCGTGTTGTAAGCACTGTCGCATCAGTGCCTGCTAAATCTTACTTTAGCTTGCCTCGATGTATGGAGATTTTCCTCAATAGGCTTCATTGTTAGAGAAACAGGCTCCAGAGTATAAGGCCCGCGTTGATTCGTCTGTTAATTCTTCGAGTTATGTTGGCTTGCTCCTTCTTCCCTCTTGTTATACGTTCCTTAATTGTATATTGCCTTCTCCCTTGGCTGACTAGTGCCCTGTTCTTGTGTTGCCTCTGAGTACATTTAACATGGACTATTTATAGTGAATCCGTTAGTGTCTTACAGTATGCAGACTGTCGTAGTCATCATAGTCAGACGTAAGAACCGCGTACTTGTGGTACAGTGGTTGTAGTTGTTATGGTTTCGTTCACTGATGATTTTTGGAGGTGGGGTAGGTAGCTGTGCATTGGAGGGGGGAGCTGGTAATTTGGTTGTTATGATAACGTGTCTTGTTCAGTACTTCCGGTTAATGGATCCTTATCGATATAGACCTCTTTACGTAACTCAACCAGCTTGTTCCCGTTCAACGACGCCTAGAGTTCGATTGACAGGAGGTTGAATTTGAATACTAATTCTCCAAGGCCTGTTGTGGGGCCCTTCAGCGTCTTGAACTTGTTAAGCGCTTTCAGGAAAATTAACAAGCGTTCATCTTTTCTGTTGCAGCCGGTTTGACGACACAGCCACTGATGCGGCTTATGAACTCCGGTTTGTACTGTTTGGAGTTAACCAACTGTTGTATCCGTATTCATTTCAATTTATCCTACCACAATTCCAGCGGACGCTCACGGAGGTCCAGGAATACGTCTGACTACAATGGGTTTCTGAAAGTCGATGCAAATGGCTACTTCACAGCTGTTATTCTGTTTGTTCTCAGTTGGTTCTATGTTTGGTAAGGGCGAATTCGTGTCTAACTGGTTTCCCACAGTTGACACCGTCAACAGAACATAGCCACTAAAGTTCGAAAATGGTTGGACCTTCATGGAGAACTTGTAGGGATGCTAGGTGCAGTGATGATTTATGGGTTTCGCAATGTAAAGGCGAGTAAGAGTAAGATGAGGGAGACTGTCAGTGTACTGCAAACCGTTAAAGTAAGGGTGGTTAAATTCATATGGCTTGAAAATTGATGATATCATAACAGTCGGTGCAGCTAAGTGCACTGCTGCTTCTTGATCAACCCAGATGTGGTGCGACGAGCTTGGAGAGGATTTTCTGAAGAAAAATTGCTTGATCTATTTTCAGCCTGAAGAAAGGCGGACGAGTTTAGTCCAATTCAGTTATTCAGCCTTAAACTGTGTACCAAAGTACGGCAGTTCCAGCTGCTTCATTTTCATTGACCGTGGATTGGGAGATTGAGGGAATGGTTGCCGCTCTTTGGAGACAATGGCATTGTCATTTCATCGACGCAACTTGTTGTCTTGCGATACGGCTTGCAGTGAGTGAGCATACTTAGAAGGAAATAACTGTGCTTCAGGACCGCCACTGGTTGCATGGTGTAGCCATATCTGAAAACAATATGGTTAGCAACGGTGAATGACTTGACTGGTAAGGGATTCCCTACTTCGCCAGGTCATCAACTGGCCGCACCTGCTTCGTCTCCGTCCGACACGTGTCTGCGTAAGGAGGTCTCTACGAGACAGTGGGTTCTCCGGTATACAACTTGATGTCCGACCCAGTATAACTCATTTATTGCGACCAGCTGATCCATAGAGGATCTCTCCTGTAGCCATCTAACATACCACTATATTACTGATCCGATTTCGCCATTAAACTCGAGCAATATTTTGACGCAATGATGGTCAAACACGTAGAGAGGAAGGAGGGCCTAGTTAAGCTCGTGGTTGGACCACAAGGACTCTCCGAAGAGGTCGACCGACTGACATGTTCCGAATGCATCGATAGACAGACAGTGAAAACTTTAACGTGCAAACACATGTCTAGGTCTAAGAATGAGATTTACCGTCCGCAGCTTCTTTATTTCGCTGGTCTACCGCCCCGAGTCCACCCCTGTAGCTGAAACTGGTAAAGTTAATACACGCACGATCTATTCTCCACCGTGAATCGTTTCGGTTTCACCAAGTTCATCCTGTTTTTTAAGGTCATGATTTGCTCTCTCAGTTTTTGTGCGCATATTCCTTATATGCGTACATGCCTCTGTATCCCTAGTCAAACGCTTCTGAATGGAAATCCGCCAACAACTACGAATGTCTTGTTTCGAAGCCATAGAGTTACGTATAAAGCTCGTTTTTTTACGACTTCAATTTTGGGGTTTTGTGCTTCATATAATTTGAGCTCCTTGAACTCTCATCGTCCTCAACGAGGATAACAGATGATCGGTTGTTTTGCCGTGTTCAAGATACCATTTTTCCACTGGTTTGCTTGGACCTTCACCAAACCCACCACTAATCGGGTTTATTTTTTGTGCCCGACTTCATTATCTACACAATTGTCTGTGAACTGTGAGTTTTTCTGGAGTTTTTCGCACCTGACCTCTAAGTGTCATTCGCAACGTTGTGTTCTGTAGAAAAATTTGATAGTAAGGGCCTTAGCGTTCTTCATTTCTTATCTGGTAGATGTTACCCACCTTATTCAGTCTTTGAACGTCCTTGTCAGTCACACCACTTCGCATTTGATAAAAAACTTGAGATAGCAACGCGGTTTATTAGTTCCCAACTAAGGCCACGTTTCTTCGAGTGGCTAGCAAAATATGATATGCCGTCTTATTTTTCCAAACACCGACGGTTTGCTCATTCTCTAATTTCCACGTTACTCTTACTGCTGGGTTTTCTCACTTTCGCTGACTTCCCTCCAGTGTGTTGATGTTGTTGAACTTCCAGCTAGTGTTTCGTGGATTGATTTGTCAAAGTGCGCCACCACCCACAACTTGGTAGCTGCTGCATTGGGTTCCTCTGAAGACGGTCGTGCGGTGTTGATTGACCCCATTATCGGAGCAACGGCACTCACTCTTAGCGGTGGGCATTCTCCATCTGGGTTGTCACAGGTCCTTTGGTCCATTAGATCACCGCATGTGGTGGTCACAGGAGGGTGAGCTGTTTATATTGTAGAATCAAGCAATAAATTATGGTTCGCTGCTTGCTGCGTCTTTAAATTCGCATGTCTGCTTATACTTTCAAACTTCTACGTGCAGACTTCACGATGCGTTTTCAGTTGTCTTTCCGGAGGGGATTTTTGGCCCACACTATTCAGTACACTATCTCAATTCTTGCTACAGCGAGCCGTAGGCAAAAATAATGTTTACTCTTAATATCTACTGATTAAAGTGTTCTCTTACGCTTTCTATTTCTTTCCTCTTACAGTCACGATGGTCGTGTACTTTTCTGGGATATACGGGTTACATGTAAACCAGTGTGCTCTCTTGACAAGTACGGTGATCCATCTGGTTCATCTTACTCTTCTGAGGGTGAGTTTACCATTGTTCTCACTGCCTTTAGGAGAACAATCGGACAACAATAAACTCGAAACTGTTGGTTTGAAAAATCAGATGTATATATTGGCATGCCAAATCACCCATCTGTTGGTTTTCAAAGTTCTTACGCCAGTAGACCACTTTTTTGTGCTTGTTGCTACGTTCTCCTATTGACTTTACCCAACTCATTTGCAACGGTATTTTTCAACAGCCACGGCACACACCGGATCCGTTCTTTCGCTTTCTTTCGCGACCGATGGCTTACATCTATTCTCCTGGGGTGGAGCGGGAGCCAGTGAGGACGCCTTGTGTTTACGAATGTGGTCGTGCGGCCCGGATGGTATATCAGACAGAGTATTTGTGGACGAGACCCGACAACTGCGTTGGCCTCAATTGAGACCCGTCAATTTTGGTACGATTTACATGGACACGATGCGCACGAGTGGTCAAAATACTAGTATGAGTCGAGTGAACATAGATCAAGGGCCAGTGCGGGCATTTTCTTCAGAACCAAGGTCACGGACAACCGCTCCACCTCCGTCGCGGCCGAAGGAAACACCGGTTAGAATGGCTGTTGCATCAGGTGCATCGGGGACAGCCTGGGGTGCTCAAGCCTCCATAGTCTATGCGCCATGCCGCAGTCGAATCTTCCTAGCCATGGCGGAAAAGTATCATGCTTCAACTCGTTTAGTAAATCGACACTACAACCGTGTACGTTACTTCGATCATTTTTGACCCGCATGTATTTGCTTCCTCCAGGTTTCATTCAATGTCAGGCTTAGCTTGCTCCACATGCCCGTCATCTAAGGTCTCATTTTCATCTGAATTTCTCAAACTATCGTAATGTTATATCCCCTTCTTCCGTGATATCATAGGACCTAACCCATTCAAACACCAGCCAAACAATGATGCAACCGACCCGTGCTTGCATAACAATTAGTATGTCACTTCCTTGTTAGCAGGACCCCCTAGAATGCGATTGCCCGGCAAAGCTTACGTGTAGGCACCGCACATTTTGTTAGGACGGCACATGTCGTGTACGTCAAACATTCCTTCCCGTTTTGGCAATCTCCGTTATTCATATTCATTCATTAGAGCATCGTTTTTTCTACCCAACAACTATCTTTCAAACAGTGTTTTTGAACTTGTAACTACACTCGTTAGCCCGTGGTACCTTCGACCTTCTGGATCTCATCCAGTTAAATCACGTCAGTGCAACTCCTAAATTGCGGCAAGACTGGCGTAATATCACGCCTCATATATGAGCTGTAGATGTGAGCAATTGAAAGGCTAGCAAAAACGTCGAACCTTTTATTTTTCTAGTCAGAACCCTTTTCTCTGCTTCCCCACCATCTGCTTAACCTGTGCACCGCAATAACTTTGCAGTGGTCACCTAGATTTATTCCAGCCAGCCATCCGTAATTTTCTCCGCAAAGTGTCCCCGGTCTACCTTTATTGTACACTGAGTTATCCTTAAACATCTGCCGACACTTTAGGATTCGTGTCTGGTCATCTTAAGGCTTTTTGGCAGGAAACCCGAGGATGTCTTAACGTGTTGTGGAATATGGTAAGGTGACTTCATTGTTAACACGAAATCCCAGTTGTTCTAACCGAGTTGGCAAGCCGGCAAAGAGACTCAGTCTTTACTTTTATTTTGACTGACCTGACTGAAACTATGGCTGGTTTTGATGATTCCAGGTACGCGCTTGTGTATGGAATGGGAAAAAGCAGGAACTGTATACATGTGGCATGGATGGAAACCTACTCGCTTGGCCAATCCTGACAAATCCCACGACAGACATTGATGAACCGACTGAGTGAAATGCAGCAACGTGAACTTGGCGGTGCTAATGTTTTGTTCTATTCCTCACAGCTATATTTTTATCAGCAAAATATCTCCCAGTCTCTGTGTTTTCGTGTGTGACTTGTGTTCAGGTGTTTTGTGCATGCTCCGGATTAACACTAGAAATTGAGTGTATTTTTAAAAGATGTATCATCCTACACATTAGACATTCCAGTGATATGGAGCTCACGGTCGATATTCCGGTTCGGGACTTCAGGACTGAGTAGTAAAGGTACCAAAATGTTAACGTCTTCATGATGTGGTGCGACTGTAGAGTTTACTGGCAGCAACGAAAACCCTTCTCAGTTAAAAATGATCTTTTTGCTCATTAGTTATGCACTCGTTTATGGAGATGATTAGATGGTGGGTCTGTGACTTCAGTTCGGTAACATTTGTTTGAGGCTTTGTACAAGGCAATTACTATGCTTAGGCGTGAACAGATTCATTTTTTAACGCGCGATAATTCCGGTGCGTCCAACGTGCCCTAGTGAAGTGGTGGTAGCGTTCGCCCCGGATCTCAGATTTCTGGAGTTCCAATCCCACCTATTGATTGACTCTATTGACTAACCCTAATAAGATGCTTCTCTTTCCGTTGACCTGTCAGACAAATTACACCGAGACAGAATCAAGGTCATCCAGACGAGAGTAATGCGAATACAACTAAAAAACCATCGCCCATCGACAGTCCATGGAACTTCGAACTTCGTCCCGTTGATATATTCTTCACTTCGTTCTGTCCACGGGAAATGCGCCTCGCTTTAAAACTCCTACATAGTCCTGTCACCTTACAACTGATCGCGTTTAACGATTCAATTGATTTTCTTTTCAGCCTAAGACGTCTATCAACTACTTGCTGCGGAGTACCAAGTGCTCATCGCCCGGAAATTCGTATACGGGCAACACTAACAGAAATGCTAGAAATGATAATGATAGAACCTTGTAAATTTTCAAACATTTGTTGTGAGGCAAATAAGTTTTCACTTCAACCAAATGGTTCTGTGTTATGGATATTTAACAATATTCATTCTCAGGTGCTTATTTCTGCACTGCTGTGCTACTTGATATCACCCACTTTGTAAGACTGCGATCAGCTTTACGGTTAGAAAGTTGTGTAGCCAACGTGGGACCACACTGTGTTATCTATTACCGGCTGGTCAGCTGGTGTTACTGACCTTGAAACGGCACATTTGACTGATCACTCCTTCAAATCGATCAGTTCAATTTTCCCCAGTCTCCTGATCCGTTCGACCGTGACGTACAATGTATGTGACGTCCGTAACACTTCTGTTGGGCGTTTATCTAGTGACGTATGTGCCAAAGCACATCAGCGGCTACTCACCAACAGATGTCTCTGTAAATTGTTCACGTATTTTGTCGGCATTTGTTCCTGAAGAGAAGCGTAATACCACGACCGGAGGTGGGCATTTTGCGTCATGACCAGGTTTTCACTAATTCAGTGATGCAATGTCTGCCTCCACACGGAAAATGTTATATGATTGCTCGTTCCCCTATGGTCCACAAAAGAGCTGTGGAATACTGTGAGTCGATCGGTGCAACTATCGTCAAACCTGAGTCCGATGAAGAAAGTGTAAGCTTTCCGAAACTTCGTGTTTAACATGTAATTAGGAAATGCTTGCAGGTTTAGCGAATGGTACATTCCATTTGCCTGCTACCAGAATTAGTGAAAGTGATTATTACGATTTCCCGGAGGATATGCCGGTATATGCGTAGGTAATAACCAGCCATTAAACCATCCATCCTTCAGAAATTGGATTTGTTTTCGTGAGCTCTATCACGGACTATGTCTTGCGGCGTCAACGAAGAAGGGTCTATGGAGGCCGTTGGATTGTCACAGCCCGGTGACCACAATATGTCAATTCTGAAGACGTATACTGAACTGAAATGTTTTCGATCGCCATACTTCGAAGTTATTGACATTGAACTAAAGTTTGAACCTTGTTCGAAATCCGCTGTATTCACTATTCAACATGTATGTTCTTTAAAACGGCGTGAGCTGAAATGCACGGCTTCGAAGATCTCATTTACAAGGGGGGGCTTTGGTTTTGACCCGATGTTCACAAACAGCGATACATTTGGTGTTGGCAGATGTTTGGAATACGATGAACGTCGTTCTTATGGCAGGCAGACGGTTGGTGTGTTATTTTGGATCAGAACGACTTGTTACATTATGCGGGTCAACCTGGGAATAGTATACATTTGTCGATAACGGCTTTCAGGTTGGAGATCACAACCACAAGGACCGCAACCTAAGTGTGGCAACCGGATTCACGGCAAACATTTAAAGACTGATATTACATGCAAGAATATATGCTTGCTGCATCTTCGTGGTTGCGTGTTCTGGAATACTACGAACCATGGACGTGTGCTTTGGCGAGAATATTGGCATTCATAACAAAGACCAACAAACTGTGGAGTGGTCGGGTTTGCAAGTGAAGTCTAAAACCGTCTACATATTATCTTTGTGTGCTACAGGTGTAACGCGATTTTTCATTTCGCCTGTGAAAGTGTTGAGCCGGTTATTCCACCGATGGGTGATGTCCTGTCTATATGTCGAATTGAAATTGTCCGCCAAACAACAGGTGATATCGCTTTTGGACACTCCCAGAAAGGTGTTTCAAATTGTAATGCATTAGGGTAATGGTAATATCGTCATTTCTGTCCGTCAGGTATTTTTAGTCTGTATCCGTCGAATCCAGTGAGGTGAGGCGTTGGTGTTGTCACCCTCAGCGAGTTTGAGTAAAGCCCATCCGCAAGTAAATCCATTCAGGTCGAAAATTGAACCATTGTTCAGTTTGGTTGCGAACTCAGATTCCATCGCATGAAAGCTGTATAAGTTATGGGGAAAGGTTGAGTAATTATGTGGCCCATTTACGAGGCGAATTATAAGCATTTATCCCCTGCTCTCCTCGTTTTTACCTATTGGTCACAGATCGTGATGATTTCCACTACCTTCCCTTGCTCACGCTCGATGTATCTTTCTTTCATTTTTAACTGCCGGCAGAGTTTGGCACCCCATTAGCCTTCCTCCATTATGGTCCATGCCTTTCCTGGTTTTGATATTACCTCATTGGCAGTAGATAGCGCGCACCATCCGAGTACGCTTTCAGAAAATGGTCATTATATGCTCGGCGATGCACCGAACACTGAGCTGTACCACTTGAGTTGGCTATCCTTGTTGTGGATGTGGCAAACTCTGACCATGAAAGACCGGCTCGGATTTTTTTGGATTGACACCGTACTACTCATATGTGGATAGTAAATAACAATAATAGTCTTTCAGCTGTAGCTTTTCGCCGACATCGGAAGTAATCACGAGGGCTGGGGTACTGCTAGTTTGCCCAAGCCTAGACAGGAGCAGTCACGATGCAAATGGGTTGGTGCCTTCAACACAGAGCCGTCTCGGCTCAATAGTAGCGATCCTCTGTTCACGCTCGAGATGGCGAAACAAGGGCTCAAGCAAAGCAACAACAATTACGGGCCGTTTGATGGCATGCGAGGGAGGAACCTCCCTGAAATTGGCGGTTGATGCTACGCGTCCTCATTTCGTAGAGAAAAGCAGAGCCCTTGGCTCTTGACTAAAGTTCAGGCACGGTGTGTGCTGGATTCCCGCTCAGCAATACTTCTTTCACCAGGATACTCAGCCGTCCATCCTGAGAGTTGTCAAAGCTAGCTTTGTGATTCGCCAGACGAATAAATTGGCTACACTTGCTTAAACTTAAGCCTATCGAGGACATCTATACGTGTCACACTGGTTCAGTACGCTTCAGTTCGGAGTAGTTAGTGACAATCGGCTACTCAGCTTGCAAGCACAATGCAATCTCCCACTCACTTGTGAAGAAACGGAATTTCTGCTTGCATCTGATAACTTCATCCGAGCCAACCTATTTACTTTCATGATTGGAGCGTCCAAACTTAGTCGCAAGAGAAGTAGCTGGACCAGTGGGGGCAATTTATGTAAGTATAAAATACTGATCGGGAGCTGTAGCCTAGATTATATCTCTCTGAGTACCTTGCTGTTTTTTAGGAATGCGAAGCAGCCTTTAGTGAAATGCACAAATGTCATACTTGTATCTCATTAATATCATCCCATCATTTTGAATAAGGCGGAGCCAGAGTTCCCTGTAGTTTCAATTTACCACTTGGGATTCACGGTAACTCACGTGGAACACAGGGACATATTTTCTTATGCATATAGGGATCTCTTGGGAAGGTAGGATATCTTTCCTGCTTGGACGAGGGAATGTAATTGTGGGTTCCCATTCCGATAACACAGTTTCGATCTCGCATGGATGCCTTGAAATTAGCTGTTCGTACGCATCTTAATAATCAACGCACTTTGTTCCACAAATGATGATAGAAAGTGATAGCACTAACTTTGATCCATTTTCTATTCTGGGTGTCTACTTATGGTAAGATGGATAAGCGTGTTGAATGTCGTTAACAGTCGTCGCTGGGCAACAATGTTCTTGCTTTTTACCCGGATCATATTTCCACGTGTTTTACATTTTCGTGCGATACGAATAGCCTTCACCCCTAAACCAAACTGTTTTTATAGCTTTTCCACATCTTAATCCTACTCCCGTCACATCATGAAGAGAAAGTCAGACAGTGCCATTGCAGAGGAAACTTTAGTGGCCAAAAAAGCATCTGTTGTCATTCCTAATTTCAGTAAGTCGTACCTTCCAACAATTAATGCGTCCTTGTAGTATCCGTCGATGATGCGCTCCATTTTTTGTACGGTATATTTCCTTCGCTGTCATTCAAGCCGGCTATCCGACCCACGCTAGTTAGGTCGCAAATTTACACTCTGGTTAACAATCGGACTTCGGTAGATGCGCACTTGGTTTGTTTCACTACCTCCACCTATTCGTGTGACACTAATGTAATGCAGAATAAGCTACAGAATACTGGGAAAATCCGCTTGCTAAAGCTAGAAGATGAAACAGATGACTCCTTGGGCATAATGCTCTCAGAGGATTACACCGCTTCGTTCAAGGACATTGGTGCCTCAGAAGAAGATTGCAAGCTTTTTGGCAGGTTTTGCGGTCCATAGGTTCATATGTTTGATTCAGAAAGGTTTACTTCCATTGTACTGATGGAGCAGCGCGCATTGTGTGTGAATAAGTCAACCCTCCTGAAGACCTTCTCAGATACACAGATCACGTAAGTCAGTTTATTTGATTTATATTGTACCGCTTTCCAGTACTCTTGTTCAGTCTGGTGCTTTAACGACCCGAACGAGTGGTCTGTGGTGGGTTTCTTCTCCCTGCCTTGGTAGATTCCTCAAAGCTTATAAGACGGGGCAACGAGCGTTGCTTGCAATGTTGCGACGCCAACGGTTCAAGGAACTTTTGTTATCGGTAAGTTCTGAATCAGATATGATGTGCATGTTGGAATGCCAAAACATTCTTAGCTGTGGGCGAGACGCTCAAGAACGAGCATTTCATTGGATCTTTTCGAACCCATGATGATTAATGACATGATCGAACAACAGCAGAGAACCGCGACAATTTTATCTGTAATTTGCCCAACTATAAGTGGCCGCTGAGAAAATATCTCTCTTGTATTTTGAGATTTGACGTCTCTTGGAAATCGCCTGTTTTAGAAATGTGACGTCAGAGGTCCATCAGTCGCACAACGGAGGCATCTGGAACACAGCACTTAACAGGGGAATATACATATTGTTGGTTTATACTGACAACAGCAACTGAAACGTGCATATCATTGAAAAGCGCGTACCCGTACTGGACAAAGCGGGGACACTGAGCGTATATGTTCAGCCTCAGTTGACTTGCTCGAGTATCGTGAATCTGAATGCTTATTTTACTACTAAAGCCGTTCTGGGTAGCAGTGACACTCTGGATCAAATAGGTACTCCGTTTTGTTATCGTTAGACCATTCCTGCACGACCACACGAACTTCCAGAATGGTAATCAGGATTAAGGGAATGTTCGAACTGTGTGAGCCAAACTCACCAAACGAATAAGGTAGACAGACGGCAACTACACACTGTCATCATTCCATCGTGTTCAGCTGTTTTGAAAGGTGACAAAATGCATCTTATCATCACATATTTGTAATGCACTACTCATAAGGTTGCTGAAAATCCGTCGACAGCCCACGACCTGTTTCACCCTTCTTAGGGCTCATCAGGTAGGCGCAGTCCCCGGATTTCCGTCAACCTTATTTTCTACTTCAAACCAAGTTGCACGAAGTTATCGAATATACACTCATTTGGAAACAAATTTGGTCTTTCGAGAGACTCACCTGGGAACCAGCTGAATCTTTCGTTTGTGCTGTTTCCAGGCATCGTCGACAGCATGACATCAGTGTTCAACACCGATGCTTCAATGCCGTACAACCATGATTTATTTGGAAGCCTTATTGTAAAGGAAAGAGTTAAGGTGGACGGCGAACGGACTTAGTGCTAGCTTACCACAATCATTCCAAGGTGCCTACACCTCCAGACATTCACTCAGACAATCTGGATAGAAATTGACAACAAGAACGCCACTGACATCGGTTGGCAACCATATCTTGTAGTTTCTCCAACCAGGCACACGCGGTCCCCATCCTGGAAGGCGAGTGGCACCGACAACACCTAAGTGTTTCGTGATCTCCTTCATACTCCTCTGCCAAGTCAAGGGTTGGCCACCTCTCTGTTTACGCCACTCTGAATTGGGCATGGGGGAGACCAGTTAACTGACGAAATGCTAGTCATCGTCAGTCCTCGATTACAGATTGTCACCAGAATGAAGAGTGAATGGGATACTGAACGTTTTCCGTCAATGTGACTGAACTAAACATTGAGTAATTGAACCACTGTTACTTCAGGTAACTGGCAGGGAGGCTATCTTTCCTACCCCTTGTGGTCGATGCCGTTTCTCCCTATCCAAGGTCCTAATATACTGTCTTATAAACGATTTTTTTCTTCAAAATTTAGGAAAACTTGAGAATTGGTGTACCCACAGGACAGTAGATGGCTGGTTCACACTTGTTAGGTACAGGACAACAATGTCAACCAAACGCCCAATTCCCCTTACAACATGTTTGTTATCTTTTTTAGGATATCGCAAAGCGCGAACTTGGCAAAGGCGCTATCCTCGGATATATGTACCATGTGTTGGCTCATTTAGGCTCTGGTACACTTGTTTCGTAAGTGTTCTTGTCCTGTTTTATTTCTAGCGATGCGGAGATGCAAAGCTGTCAGCCCACCTTTGATACCATATAAAAAATGGCTCCGTTACTTTCATATCCACATTCTAAGTGATTTCGGAATGGTCCTTGTCGGTCATCACTGGCATCCTCAACGAACCACTGCACACCTTCGCGTCACAGGTAAACCACAAACGGTTTCTGAGACTCAGAATGTGGCGCTACACACGAACCTTTTATGGTAATGAAAACTCAGGGGAGTCAGATCAGGTGGCAAACTCGGAGGCATGTTGAGGGTCACCAGCTGGCCCAAGTGCAATAGCAAGGCAACGAATGCCAGTGACTCTTTGATATCGTGAGGCTGGTGTCATCCATCTGCTTCCTTGAGGTTTCAGCGGAATCTGGCACACTCCCCCAATAAATCACTTTAACGGTGCTGATGTAGATTCAAGGGAACAAGATTGGTGGGCGAAAGTGCAGCTTCCTATGGCAAGCCTTAAGCCAGTCTAAGCACGCTGGCATAACAATGGTAACAGGGACTAGTGACTTGTTTATCACCAAGATACCGGTTTCATCCGTCAGTTACCTTAAGTTTCAGCGTAATACTACACCTCCTCCAGTATAGAGCTACGTTACCCCGGGTCCGCCCAATAACATATTGTCAATGTGGTGATGTATAGTCTGGAAGGTATTTCATTAACCATACTATTTGTCTCCCTTAGCGTGATAATTTCGGTCAATTGCTGATTACATCGTTGAGCGCATTTGTGATTCGTGAGTCGGGTCCGACGTCAGAATGTTGCACAAGTCCGGATGATCGGCACCACACTAAGGAGACAGCCCGTTCCACATGGCGCCCATGTTGTACAGCAGAGAGGCGCGTCACGTCTCAAAGCTTCGTGCGCTTGTGTGGCTAACTATTCTCTGGGTTCTTCTGTCCAGTATCAGCATGTTCGAAACCGAGGTTACAATCCTGAAAATTTACCTCAAGATTATCCAAATAGCGGAATTTCGAGTGTCCCCGATTTCTGAACCTGTTATTCAGTTGACCATATTTTATCGTTCTGAATGGCCTCATGAGTGGAGCTGATGTCGCATGAGACTGCATTCAACTCTTACAGTAATTATCCTTTGGTGTCTTTTATTTGGTCCGTCCGTTTCAAGCAAAGATTTTTGCGCAAACACCACAGATAAATTTGGTAAAGTGCCCGACATGTCGAGGTTTCACTGCGCACACTTGTGCGAACAACGCAATCCGGTGCATGGCAACTTTGGTATGTATATGCACGTGGCGATTGCTCCAGTCACGTTTCTCATTTCGTACGTTCATTTCGATGTCAAGCGTCAGGTTTCAGTGTGCTGTCAAGATGGCAGAAGTCCCGTCCACAACCGTGTAGCTGAATACTTCGCGTTTTATGTTGAGTTCCTGATGCGCGTTGGTAAAAGGTCAACGTCTCAGCGGTATTGCTATTTACATGGAAGCGAACCAAACGCCCTATTCAGCCTCTGTAACTGTCAAAATAAAGCGCAGACAACAGCATACGGATAGTGGACTAGAGCAGTAGTGTTTTAATCAGAAAGTGTTTCCAACTGAATAAATACCCATCCAACCGGTGGTGAATTGGTATGTTAACTTCACCATGGTAGAACGCTATTACACAGAGGTTGCCAAATGAAGCTGGACAGAACTGGGACAAGAACACAATCCTGCTTCGTGATTGTATGCGCTTGTAACTCGGTCGAGAGAGTTACACAGTACGCAGCTAGGATTTCATCCTACCACGAAAAGCCTTCACTGTAATAGATTCGTAGGACGATACAGTGCTTGCATTTTGACTGAGTCGAAGGTTTGGGTGAAGTCCATGGGGTGGTTGACTTCGTTCACGACATTTCCCTTGTATTTTGTTTGCGGCAAAAATCAATCGAACTGTACCTCGACCACTATGAAACCCACATTGCTCTTTAGGGATATCTTTATAATACCAGCGATCAGTTAAATACATATATATATATATATATACTACACCATACATCATGATACGGTAACCTAGGAACGGCTATGTAAGCGATGACAAAAACATGAAGTTTAATATACGAATCGTTGCGCCTCCCGCACTCCAAAGACACCAAGTTATACTCGAATGGCACCTATTTAACTTCTTCCAGTTTTTCATACCTTTACTGTCTGGCTACGCTTTTCAGTCATATAACGACAGGCTGCGCCTGGACGGGAGTTGTGACGGACCACTTTTATGATGTCGCTTTGGCATCGGGTTTGTCCCAATCTTAATAAAACTCAGTGCCTTATTCGGACTATGTAGCGCTGATGAGCCGTTAATAGTACTGTCACTGAGAGCGCAACTTTATTTGCATTTCAAGGAAGTGAAAATCACAATTTTTCCAGCTATACCAAATATCCAAGACCTTAATTACCATGTTTTCTCGCTGTGAGCTTGCGGACTGAAGCTGTCGAAACTTAAATGGTCAGGTTTTATGGCCTTTTCAGTATATGGACTGCATCAGTCTATCTAACAACCTCATGACGCCTTCCTTTTTGCTATTTCAGCGTTCCCACTGCGTCTGGTCCCTTGATTCGACTTCGCATGGGTTGATTTTTGTACAGTTTGCAACTCCATGTTTTTTCTTCATGGTATCCTCTTCCGCCGTATTCGCTACCTGACTTTTGTAGGCTGAATGACGCTATGAAAACGGTCTTCTTCCAATGTGATGATAATGTGTTGAAAAATTGGGGCTTTTAAAAGCATTTTATCTAGGGTGTGGTCGCAACCCGAGGTCAGTCACACTAGATTGAGCCGCATTTCGGACGTGAGCCGGTCATTCTTCGATTCCGTAGACTGATCACGATTCTACGATGTAAATCACATTCAGGCTTAGGTTTTAGAGACGGTTTATCCAAGTAGGCGGTACCAGACCCGCATTCTCCGAAGCAAGGAAGATATTCTCACCATGCTCTGTACGGATGATATTGCTTTTCACCTGACCTCATGACTCGTATCTTATTATCTGTTCCCCTTTTCCCTACGATTGTGTTCTCCCCTCCCCTTATAAGAAAAGTACTTTCAAGTTTCAATCACTTGTAAACAGCAGTCGGTCAGAATCATAGTGTGGTGTTACTGGGGGATTCGTTTACCGAAGTATAAGTGAACAGATTAGCTTGCTGTAATTTTAGATCGTAACTAACAAGTAACACCGTTGTGGTTCCACTTTGTGAGTGTCCACTGAAAAAAATGCAACAACGCGGAAAGATACTGACCAAAGACCGCTCATCGTGCAGGATAAGCGTTTTAACCGTCCTTAGTGTACTCGCGGGAGAATAACTCTCATTGAGTAGCAATACGCGATAGGTTTTATATGGTTCTTGCACATACCAGATACTTGATCTCTTGGTCGTGAACGCTATTTTTATGGAAGGCGGCTTATCTCTCGTAAGGAGCAGAAGGGCGGTTTCTTATTTAAGAATTTTTTCCCTTGGAATCAGCACTGTAGTTGTCCTAGCTGTTAGTTTTGACACTGCATTTCTGGAAGGGTACACTGTGCTGCGTGGCAGCAGTCTGCCCTCTCATTGGAATGGTGCGCGCAGTTGCAAGATCACAACCGAGCACTACCTTGTGGACTCCCCTCACAGTAGAAGCCACCTTCAAAGAGGGAGCAAATGTTTGCTTTCCTAATCGGGTTGCAGAACTGCACAATTATGCAGAGTCCCGAATACCCATAGCCATAGGTCACGTTGGTCCGACGTTAGTTCCACAGGAAACCCTAGCTTAAGGTTGGTGAGTAAAATGAGTTGCCAAGTGCTAATATCGGTGACTGGTCAGTTAATCGAAATCAATTCACCGACCTTCGATTTATCGATTATCGGTTAGCCAAACCAAAGTCTACAGATGTCAGCAAACGACTATGGTAATGCCAACTAGTGGACTTTATACATGTACTTTTCTGCTCACAATTTAGGGCTGAATAGGGAACCGAGCAACATTATATGGACTGGAAGCTAGCGTTTGTCACCAAGTTTTCAACATCAAAGTATACAGTGCGGTAAAATGAATCGTATGCCGCATCAGCCACATAGATTTAGTTCCACAAATACCCGTGAACGGTGGTTTGTGCTCCTGCCTCTTTTAAGACATACTGATGTATCAGATAGAGAAAAATTCTTCATCTCAGTTGACAAAAACTCCGTCTGTTTAATCTGTTCATCAAACGACAAGGAGAATACGTTCAATGATGTTGACAGTTGGAAGTATCACATACACCTGTGAATATCAAGTGGGTCACCGGCTCATCTATGTGTACCGCGTGTTGATAACCGGTGCACCGGATTCTGACATCGGCTTGTGCATTCCACTTACCTGTGCGATTGATCTGTCCAAAATATACTGCACAAAGTGTGGATAGCTGCTGAAAACCACACAGGCGTCAGGCTAATGTTGAAATCTACGTGGTACCCGCTCATATTTAGACTAGATACTATGACATTAGCGAAATATACTCATTTGCAAACTAATTTGGTTTTTTTGAGAGACTCACCTGGAACCCAGCTGAATCCCGGAAACATGAAAACCGAGAGGTTCCAGGTGAGTCTCTCACAAAAACCGAAATTGTTTGCAAATGAGTATATTTCGCTAATTCCATGCAATTTGGTTTCAAGTAGAACATAAGGTTGGAAACTCAGGGACTGTGCCTACCTGATGAGCTTCAAGAAGGGCTAAACCGGTCGTGGGCTGTCAACGAATTTTCAGCAACCTTATGAGTAATGCAAGACGTTATGACCTTTATCTCGCTAGTTCTAACAGGTCAGTTTATGTTGAGAAGAGCTCATGTGGGATGCTGGGGGGACTAGGCACAGAGATGCAAATTTACTGAACCACCAGGTTGACGTCGGCATAGGTTTGCAATACAGGTTAAGAGTACCAAGGTATCATATTTGATTTATCGAATCGCAATATCTTGTGCAAAATGAATCAGTACATTTATATGAGGCCAATAAGTAGATTACCTTTAGTCCATAGGCTATTCAACTTGATCCGCTACAGAAGGTTGGATATTTTTGACGACAGATAGTCATTAGCCCGACAGTTAACGCAGGCGTGGCTCCTGCCGAATGCAAACTCAAATGACATTCACCACAGGCTAAATAGGCTTTTATTTGATCTTCGTCCTGATCGCACGTTTACCTGACGCGGCATCTGTGAAAATCTCGAAATGACAGCCAAATTTACATGTCAATGTCCCGTTTCATTGCTGTTTAGCCCACTGTCATGCCGTGTCGTAACTAGTGAGGGAGGCAGTTCAGCAACCATGGAAAGTAACCAGTCGCCATGGAACGCACTAGAACATCGCGTAAGATATGATGCTATGAATGTGTTGAGCGGAGTCCCACATGGATCCCGCTTTACCGCTCGCAGTCAGGTGCTGCTACGGCCGAGAAGCCCGTCTTACGCAAGATTGGTCAAAAATTCGGAAGGCTTGCGGGTCCGGCATCAGGCCGAGATCTGATTGGTCGAAAACCTGGATCCACCAGCCAACCGGTTGCCAATGGCGCATCCAGAACGCGTCGGAATTTCGAGAAAGTCGTTGCCGCTTACGCTATACACATGAAGCGCTATACAACTGTTCCTGACTTCGTTTTGGGCGTTAATATACCTTATGCATCTTTGGTGGCTGTTTTGACGTGAACGCTGGCTTGGGAGGCTCAGATGGAGAACTAAACCTTAAATAAAAAACCTGGCCACTGCGGATCCGAACGTGTACGAAGCATGAATTAGGCGAGGCATCCGAGGTTGGTGACAAAGCCGGTACATTCTGGAATGGCAGATTTTTTGATGTGCCTGAAGTGCATAAATGATAACCTTATTGCTTTCGCGCTCAAGCTTTTGGTCAATTCCAGGAAGTGATTCCTCTTCAAGGAATAGCTTAGGGGACTCCGAAATCTATTAGCGACAGGGGCGAATCTTCATTAGCAAGTGATCAATAGTGGGCATATGGCAGGATTTATGTGCTGGAGTGGTGAGTCTTAACCTACATCCCCATCTTAAGTATCTTCCTTGTGTTGTGTCTTAAGTGATTACTCCAGATATTCAAGTCCTTTTGTTGAGACGTGGTGGTTGTCAGTCCCGAATGTTCTTCCGCCTAGTCAAATCTGGATAAGTCGTTCCGCTATTCGGCGCTGTCTTCTTTAATTGATATTGCATCTGTGAAGTGTTTCAACGAATGGTGCTGAAAATTTAAGGCTAACTTATCGGACATGAAGAATCTATTGACGTCTCAGAGTACTGTATCAAATATGCTAGTGATGAACTTTCAGGTGACAGACGATTAATAGGTATTCCCTAACAGTATGAGCGTTCATTAATAGAGCTTGAATCAATTGTTTCAGCTGTTGCCCTCGACAGCCGGTTCAAACGACGAATTTCGTGCCATTAAAATTTTCCTCGGCCGAGGAATTTCCTGTTAGGGCTTTCTCCGAGGTGGCCGGTATATCGCCGTCTGCTCGAGTCGAGGGTACCAACTTCCTAGAAGTTTAATTTGGTCTTTTATCTGAGTCACCGAATCTTTTAGGATGACAGCTTTGCGGATAAGTATAGGAAGCTACTGCGCAAAACCGGCCGAAGTGAGCACACGTCAGTACTGTGAATTTGTTGGACACGTGGCCGACCCTCCATCCACCCGACAAGCTGTGATGAGGGAGAAGGGTGGACATTTCGAGGTTCGACCACGTCTTCTTCAGTAAATACTGCGCTCCTGGTGTAAGACTCGTTCAAAAGCATTCTTCCACTAGGAATGTCTCCTCGGGAATTAATTCTTGTGTATGGTCATACACTCTGGTAGTACCAGTTTTCAGAAAACGTCCCAGGTTATTGTGTCGACTAGTGAAAACACTGAACGTTTCGTTGATCCTTAACCTGATTTTTTTCGTCCATGGAGTGAAACACCAGTATTTGCTTCAACCTACAACCAAATGACCGTTTCTCCACATCAGCTTAAAAATGCTGGTTGTCACCATGTCCTCTAACCGTGTAATAAATATGTGGTTTCATCATTGTTTTTGATGTTTCCTGAGATCTCGAAATGAGGGACCAAAGTGCACACAGCAAAACGGAAAGACAAGCCTAGAGTTTATGTGATCAATGTGCTAGTTCAGCTGCCTGCCTGGGCCTTCATTAAAAGATAACTGTCTACGCGTTTTCACGTTTGCTTACCCCGGTATTATGAAACAGGATTTCTTCAACAGTAAGTTCATTAATTCAGCTGGGGGTTACACAGATGAAATGCACGCATATACTGCAATCCTCCTCTTTAGTCGACCTGCGAAGAAAGTGACGATTTTGATCGAAAATACCGGTTCTATTGAAATCTTCATTACCGGGGCGTGACCATGGGTTGGAGGGGAGTGTTACATCACGTGACAAGTTAAACTGGATGTGTGCAGTGATCTAACTTTTGCTCACGGTTGGAAAAGAATGCGGGTCAATGCAGTATTCCTGAACAACATATCGCCGTGGTTGTGGTACTCTGATAAACACAGTACACGCGCCCCGAAAGATTTCAGACCAAGATACTCTTGATTTGCATCCATACGTGAGTTTCGTTCAAACCCTGATTGAAGTCAATCACCACAGACTAAACCGTCGTGCAAGATGAGTGAGATGAGGAAAAAAAGCTATATGCAGATTTCGATTTCGAATATCGCCTGTCTCACCGTTTATGAAAAAGCTACTCGGTTGGCAGGAATAATTGTTTTGTGATGATGGTAAGTAACAACAGGGAGAAATCGGCCATTAGAATACAAGGCGAATGTCCGTCACCACCACCATTAATTTCAACGTCAGTACTTCATTGTCAGAGATATAATTGCGCTTATTCGAAGACAACCTCAACATGTGAGCGGCATAAAACTGGAAGCTCAGGGAATATATACGAGGTACTAGCATGTTCAGCGTCTGACCAGGCAATCGGAAAAGAAAGTGGAAAATAAGACCACAATTGAGTTTGATTTACTGTCAATTCTTGCGGCGACTACAGCCAAGCATAGATAGCGTCGCGTGGGCCACATTCTAATAGACGCATGGCACCAGGAACAACTAAGATCTCCGTAATCTCCTTCGTTTCCCTCTACCAAGTCATGTCTGCCTCACTTTGCGTCACTCCAAAATTGGTAGGATAAACAGCTTTGGTTGGCGGACATAACACTTCGTCAAGCCATTGAGTTTTACTGTGTAGTTCTGAAAAGACGTACCCAACATAGTGTTTTTGAACTCAACGGCGTCAGCCTGTACGAGCGACTCCTCTGAGATATCGACGATGAAAGACACAAAGAAGCTGTCAAGTCGACCAGAAGTTCTACTAGTTAATACAGCGAATCAGATCGCGAACTTGGAAGTCTCAGTTTCGTTGCCATACCAAACTTCAGTTAACCTAAACAGAAATATTAGCTTCTACGAACAATCTCTACCTATAGCAATTTCAGACAAGAAACGATACAAACTCAAGTGCTTGTCACAGCGAAAATATCAAGGCAATCACAGAATCGGCAATTGATTTCTCGCGGAACCTATTCGAAATAGGGTACATTTAGCCGTAAAGAAACCGACTTGTTTACTGTAAACAGGAAATAATAAGTATATTTTGGTGCTCTATGTGGCTTCTAGGCGACTTTCGGTTCAACTAACTGTTCATAGTATGATATTTAGAAAGCTTAGCCAATATTTCGTCCTGCGCGCGAATTCAACCTATGCCAACAAACCGAGCACTGTACAGCTGCTTTATCTGCATTTGGAAACTAATCCGCACCTCGTTAACCAGTCAAGTGAGACCTATCCCGTGAGAGTGGAGAGTCGGCAGCTTGAGGTTTACGAATTTCCATGTTAGATTTCGTCCTGTAAGCGGAGCCAATCTATGGTGAAAAGTCGAAAGGCACTGTACACGTGTTTCGTCCTTGTTGGGAATTATAAGCCATGCGCCCCTCAGGAAACTCTTGAGTTTCAAACCTGCCGCCTCCCGGTTAAGTAGTTCGAACACAACGGTTCGGCAGGGAACGAATGATCAACAGTGTGATTGTCTCCTACTTAGGATATGGCGCCAGGGCGTATAGAGACCAGACACGTAATCTTTCGTTTAGCAGTTTCTGGCTCTTAATCCTGGAAATAGTAACCCTCTCCATCCACATGATGAGTCTTGAAGACGAGAACGCTTGTGTGGCTCATTTCCAAACAAAGCGTTAGTTACACGAGTTCTGAGGCTTCTCCATTTTGGTTATCCTTTCTGGCAGAATGACATCTAACAATTGCGGACAGTTCTGGTAACTCCATTAGTGTCCCTTCTAAAAGGAGATTACCATCCTGAATTATGCAGCAACGGGAGACATGAGCACAGGAATCGGATTACCAAAAGCCAGAATTTTGAACAGAATTCGCATGGTGCAGTTCGTAATTTTTAAATTGTAATCCTACTAAAATCACAAATTTGAGGTCCCTATTAGGAAAACTCCCCGTGGCAAGAACACAAATCAGTAAGGCCGTCACCGCGCTTACAGAGGTAGCAAACCATCAGATCAGCCAATCAGAATACGATACCCAAATTTATAAAACATTCAACCAGGTTGCTTTACCGTGGTAACTAGAGACGACAGGTCGAAATGCTAGAAATATCCGCTTCACTCCTCTCCCTAGAAGGAGGATAAAGTTAAAACCAGCAAAGCCCACCACCAGATGTATGCGAATATGTCTCCGAACACTGAGCGTTTTGTTTTCAAAAAGCGTATCATGCGTGAGGATAGCCTAAAAAGTAAAAAAGGCCATCCTCACGTGAGGATAGCCTACGAGGTGACATCGAGGGTTGATGCGTCCAAAGTCAACAATGATGACACGTGATAAGAGAACAAGGTTTAAACCCTCGATTTATTGATCCAAATCAGCATTGCAAATCATGTCTGACGGAGAGAAGGTGAGCAACACAACGGTGGGGGGAGGAGCTGGAGAGGCGGAAAGCTTTCGGGAGCTAACAAATCTTGTAAGTAATGCGAAAGCGTTCTACACCTCATTCTGACACTCGGAATTACAGGTAAATGAGGTATTAAGACAATTTCAAGATGGTATTGTCAAAATGATTGACAAAGTAAATAATAAAAATATCCTTTTCGGAAAATCGGATTCTTTTGAAAGTTTCTCTGTGAGGAAAAACCCGATTGCTTAATTATTTCCCTTGACCAATCACATTGTAACACTTCAGAATATCGAAGAGAAAATTATGCAGATTGAGGGAACGGTAACTAGTTTGCTTGGAAACTTACCGAGCAATGGAGAATGAGTCAGTGAAAGGCGGTGAAAAAATTGCATCATTATGGAAAATACATGTATCATACAGTTGTCTTCTTGACTTTGTGACAATATTTCGAGGACAGAAGAGGTTATTACGATGCAACGGAAGGTTGTCCTGTATTCAGCGGGATGTTGGAACGCACGAAAAATTCAGTAGAGCCGTTTTGTTGGAGTGACGTAGAAGCTAAACTTCCGTAAGACGTCACGCATGACAACCGTCCTCGTTGAGTCGGTGTGTTTATGTGCGGACAAGTGACACTGGATCGTAACCGGGGTTCTACTCGCACTGGCCGATAAATCAGCATATGGATAGGACGGCGGCAAACGGTGTACGACAGGGCGTGGAACACAGTCATGGCGATTAGACACACCAGAAGGGGGAGTAAAACCTGCGGAATATGAGTTTCTGAATCACGACAGCTTATCAAATATGACCACGCCCATTGGGTACGATTCAGTGCGTACTGGATGTCGGAGCAGACGGCAAAACGATAATTTGTATATTTGTTGTAGTCAACCACTTCGAAACCACCATGCTCCACATTTAGTCGCGCTAATTTTTCGTTATACATGTCAAGAAGTTCGTGGTAGACGGCGTAACAATCAAGACATGCGGAACGGTCAACTTTGAGATAGTGAACATCCGGGAATGACAGGGTATCAAGAATAGATCCACTCAGGTTACCAATGTACTGTGTGAAGCAGTCGAGGGTTACATTCAACAACTCAAAGAATCTGGCGGTTTCGTTGTTGTAAACAGCGAGGTTGTACGCAGTCATATCAGTGTTACGGTGGCTGGTCGCGAACCTCAATGGTGAGAGGGTTGGCCAATCTGTTAGCCGCTTCAACTTGTCTAGCCAATCATCCTTTTCGGCCAAAGAGTCATTGTGCAAGCAATGTGGACAAAACGAACGGTTCCAGAAATCAGCGATAAACTGGATGAGGTCCATGGTAGCCTAGGACAAAAGAGTAAAAGCAAGACAAGAGGCTATAATTGAAAGAAGTAAACTGACACGGTCCACTTAGAAAGGAAGTGAGCCAGGAAGCAGAAAAGTGCGCCTCAATTAAGGGTAGCGTAGCCAGAAGATATAACGAAACGATGCCCGATAACCCAATACCGTCAAGTTCCTGATAACTGGCACTGCTGTTGTGTCGGAGTAAGTCTTTGTGACGGAATATTCTGTTTGGTGGTTCTCACTCGAATTTAGCTAGATGTAAAGTTCCTAGACAACAGGACTGACCGCCACGCTGCGTTCGTGCCGGCCAATCACACTACATGCAGAGATACTGAACGTCTAGAGTATTTCGTCTCACAGAAATGGAAAATGCTACATGACGGCCATTTAATACGCCAGTCTACAATTTCAAATTGCACTACTCTAATACAGGGATAGTGCACGTGGTTCTCACTGGCCATCTTCCAGCGAGGAGACACTTCGGGATTCCCTGAGGGTGCTGCACCGAATACGCGTGAAACGTGGCAGTGTTATGCACTTACTCAATCCCTAGGGGTGAAGCAATGCACTCAGAATTCATTATCCCCTTTGGTGAAAGGATTCCCCTGTAATGCGTATCTTGGAAGTTGTATTAGTTCTGATTGTAGTGTGACAGATGAGATCAATGCACAAATCTGCTAGCCCAGGGTCACGTTTGCTAATTTGAGACACCTACGGCGTCAGAGTGGTGTATACTTGAATCTCAAGGGACGTGTGTATCAAGCTATAATGCGGGCAGTGAGACTTGGACCGTTCGAGCAGCGGAACCGAGACGTCTTCAGATGTTCGACAATCGTTGTCTCAGAACCATAGCTCGTGCGGAGTTGGAGTCGGAAAGTCCGTAACGAGGCAATTAGAAAGCGAGTTTTCGGTTGTGCAACATGAACTTCCACTGAAGGATGAGTCCAGCACCAGAAGCTGAATTAGTTAGTCTATGTATTGCGCATTCCGAAACGTCGTCTGCCGAAGAGGATTCTGCCTTTCGTGGCCAATTCAGAGTGGCGGAAGCGGAGAGGTGGCAAACACTTGGCTTGGTAGAGGGGTATGAAGGAGATTACGAAACGCTTGGGTGCTACTCGCCTTTCAGGATGGGGACCACGTGGTCCTCACTGTGCCTGGTTGGAGACACTATAAGTTATGGCTGTCAACCGATGTCAATGGTGTCCTTGTTGTCAGCTTCTATTCAGATTGCCCAAGTGAACGTCTGGAGGTGCAGCCTCCTCGGAAAGATTGTAATAAGATAGCACTAAGTCCCTTGCCCACCCACCTTTATTCTTTTCTTTACAACAGCCAGGCTCGAGGATTGTAATAAATAGCACTAAGTCCCTTGCCCACCCACCTTTATTCTTTTCTTTACAACAGCCAGGCTCGAGGAGCACATCAACGCTTACTTGAATAACTACCAATAAACGCAGCGAAAAGGCAACGTTGTATACTACTGATCAAGCACTTGACTAGTCTAAGGTTTGGGGTCCAAGCTCCGCGCCGAGACCAATTTGAGGTGGGATTTATTCTGAAAAGTTTGGAACTGCGCAGAAGAATTCGTTTGCTATTGCCTAATAGTCAGTGAAGATCCAGGAAAGTTGAAGAGGACGCGCGAGCTGAAAAGTTACTGCGCAGAAGAATTCGTTTGCTATTGCCTAATAGTCAGTGAAGATCCAGGAAAGTTGAAGAGGACGCGCGAGGATGTTTGTTCGTTAAAGACTAAGTGCGTGTGGGACGCTTGCTTCCCTGTCTACTGACTCGTAACTTCCCCGTTCGTACTAATAAATAACTTCACAGCAAATCGCTTTCCGCCTTTCATTTGGTGCCATGCCCAGGATACGGATGAAGATCCGGTAGCCACAAGTGCTTGAGGTGAGGATGGGTGCGGACCTTTCTGGAGGACTTCGAAGATGTTGAGGAGGCGACTGAACTGGTGACCGACCAGGGTAAGGTGGTGGCTCTGCTCTGACTTCTCAGAAGCCGTCGAAGGCGGCCCTGGATGCGGCCAGAAGGGACTGGGCCACTGCGAACGAAGCTCTTGCAGTCGAGTTCGACACACCGGCCGACCTCCAGGAGTCTATGGGGCGGTTCAAGGTGGCTACGATAGGATCGGGACGCGACCCGACGGTGTTATTCGCCAGCCTGCAACAGTGTTTAGATCGTGCCTTACCGGGACTGGACGGAGTGCCACACCAACAGTTGCTGTCTGACCAGGCCGTCGAAGGTGTGCAGCCGGCGCTTGATGCCCATTTGCAGTTGGCGAGAGCAAGTGGTCAGTTCAGTGTGGAGGAGCTGGTGTATCTGGTACGGAAATTGGCCGAGGCGCTACTGACCACGTTGCGGTCGC